AAGGGGGAGCCACCCTAGGGGTTGTTTCGCCACGGGCCCGTTCGCATCCAGATTGTGGCGATGTTTTAGGCGGTTTGTCTGCTTGGTGGCTTGGACTTCGATGCTTTCAGGGCAGATTGTGAGGATGCCTCGAGAGAGACGCTGGTTTCAGCACCCCAAAGGGGGGGTGCCAGGGGGCATTTCGCGGGCTCATTCGCGCCCAGATTGTGGGGATGTCAAAGGCGTTTTGCCTTTTCTCGTGGCCTTGACCTCGGTGCTTTTCGGACAGACTATGAGGATGCCTCGAGCGAGGTGCACACCATTATATTTCTCCAGTGCAAACACCACGCGCATAAAGTGACCAAGCATACCAGCGCCAAACACCTGTAGCACATCAAGATGCACGCAAATCAGATTCAGAACTATGGCGCACCAGGAACGTGCACTCATCACTGGCAAGAAGAAATGCTGTGCACTGTATTTGCTGGGGTCGGTGACCCCCTGTGCAGGAGTTAGTTCAGAATGACAGGACGGGAGCTATGTTCGTAGGTCCTCTTGGCTCGCGAGGAAACAATAACATCATCAATCCAGCTACATGGTAGCGGAGCTCGGTTAGCTCGCGCGCCACGCGACCTCCCCGCCCGGGAGGGCTGCTGGTCAGCAGTGATGGCGGCGATCGAGGTGGTCGACGTGCGGACCGACATGCGGTTACAGCGGTTCGACGGCACGGACGAGAAGTGGGGAGACTGGAGTCTCAGGTTCGAGGCCTACACCGCGCTGCTCGGCTTCGAGGAGTTCATGACTGCGGCGGGCCAGAGGCAGGACCCGCTGCTGAACGAGCAGCTCAACGAGCGCGCGAGGCAGGTCAGCCAACGGTAGTGGGACCTGCTGATCACATATTGTGAGGGTAAGGCGATGGGAGTGGTCAAGCTCTCGCGCAAGAGCGGCCTCGAGGCGTCGCGCCAGCTCAAGAATGAGTACGATAGTCGTTCAGGGAATCGCTGGACGGCGATGCTGCGGTTCATCCTGGACCCGCAGGACAAGTGGGCCAAGGATCGCGGGGCGGGCATCGACTACTTTCAGTCGCTCACCGCCTGGGAGGCGATTGTGGCCGAGTATGTGGATCAGAGCGGCGAAGCCGTTTCTGACAATGTCAGGGTGAGCGTGCTGCTGGAGCACGCGCCAGATCCATATCGAGAGGTGCTCCGACAGGCCCCAGAGGAGGTGAAGCTCACGTTCGCCGCAGTTCGCAGTCACATCAGGGGCTACTACAACCAGGGCAGGACTTTCACTCACGTCCCAGACGTGGGCGGGGTTGCCCCGATGCAGGTGGATGCAGTCCGTGCCCAGCTGCCCAATGGCAAGGCCAACGGCAAGGGCCAGACGTACAAGTCCGACCAGTCAGGCGGGAAGTAAGCAGATGCCAGAAGGGCAAGGGCTCAAAGACCAAGTCTAAGGGTCGTGATGGCGGCAAGCGCGCCAAGATCCAGGCGGAGTACTTCGACGGCGAGCGCGGCTGCTGCGGCAAGTGGGGCCGCCAGCGGGCGGACTGCAGGAAAAAGAAGGCCGACGACTCGAAGAAGGAGCCAGGTCACACCCAAGCTGTTCAAGGCGACGCAGCTTCGCCATCAGCCCAGCAGCCAGCGGATGGCACGGCGAAGGCGGCGTCGGGCTACTTTGACGGCAAGCCCGATGGCTGGATGTTCGCGGTCACGGCGCAGCCGGATGGCCGGGTGGCGAAGGTTGGCGGCTCCATCCTGATCGACAGCGGCAGCGACGACCATCTCTGCAGGCACTGATTTGTCCCAGAGGCTCCCATCGGCGCTGCGGTGGACGCGCCGAGGCTCTTCGACGTGCAGCAGCGCCCACTACCGACGGCAGGCCTGAGGGGAGTAGAGATGACCAAAAAGGAGGGCATCACGGCAACAGCGGGCTTCCTCGTCGCCGACGTGAACGATGATCTGCTGAGTATGGGGAAGTTGCTCAGGCAGGGCTTCAGGTTCAACCTCAGCCTGGAGGACGGGCTCTATATGCCGAAGGGCCATTGCAGCGTGCAGCTCACGGCGGGGTGGAACAGCCTCAGGCCCCCGATTGTCGCGGCGGGCCCCGCAGCTGAGGCCCATCACTGCCGCGGCGCGGCAGAGCGGCAGGATGCGACGACGGCTCATGTGCTCAACGCGGACAGCTCAGTCGGCGCGATGAGGACCAGGCTGAGGGGGCTGCGCATGCCCATCTACGGTGCCAAGGCGGAGCTTTGGGACAGGCCCATTGCGGCGGAGGCCGCGGTCAGGCGGTCGGAGGCCGAGAGGGCGCGCAAGCAGGCAGTCAAGGAGCAGCTCGGGATCCAGCACGACCCAGTCGATGCTAGGGAGTTACCCGTGCCGAAGGCTCCGAGTGCTGAAGAGGAGAGGCAGCATCGCCTCGCCCATCTCTGCCGACCGCGCCCTGGTGTGAGGGTGCATCCGCGGCAAGGCGCCCGATGCTCCACGCGCGCAGGTCACGCTCGAGGACTCCGAGCGGGAGGCGCCGCTCATCAGCTTGGACGTTGGGTTTTGCAAGACAGCTGATGAGGACGGCGACCTGGCGAAGGTCGAGGACACCTATGCGACGATGCTCGTGGCGTTCAGCTCGGACGCTGGAGTGGTGAAGGTCATCCCATGCTCATCGAAGTCGGAATGGCCGTGCGCGATTGCAGGCATCAAGCAGTTCGCGCAGCGGCTCGAGACGGGCAAGTGCAGACTCAGGACCGACTCTGAGCCTGCAACGAAGGCGATCTTGGACGGGGTAGTCGCAGAGCTGACGGACGGGCAAGGTCATTCCAGAGTTGACACCCAAGCACAGCAGCCAGTCCAACCCACCGGAGGCGGCTGTGAAGATTGCTGAGGGCCAGACGCGGGCCCTCAGGTTGACTCTCGAGAAGCGCTACGGCACCAAGATCACGGCGGCCATGCCGATCTGGGCCTGGATGATGCGTCATGCTGGGTGGCTACACGAGCGGTATTCACGACGAGCTGGAGGGCAGACTCCACATGAGATAGCGGATAGCGACGGGCACGCCCTACAGAGGCGACATCTGCACCTTCGGTGAGACGGTGCCGTATCGAATAGCTCGACCAAAGCATCGGGGACTCGGTGGAGGACGGCGGCTGCGCCGTGGGGGGGCGCAGTGGAGCCGTGGGATATGGGTTGGCAGATCTGACGAGTCCCAGGAGCATCTGCTGATGACTCCGCAAGGGGTCGATCGAGCTCGGGCCGTGCGACGGCCCCCTGAGGGCAGACAGACCGACAGGGACCTCCTGCTGTCGGCGACGGGCCTCCCGTGGGCGACGAGGGCGGCGCCCGAGAGGTCGAGGCGACCACGGGCAGCCCCGCCCGTGGCGACAGGGATCCCGAGGGCGGATCAGCAGCAGCAGCAGCAGGCGCCACCGCCGGCAGGGCCACCCGAGGGCCGAGCGGACCCTGCTCAGCCCCGAGGCCCACCGCAGGCCCCAGGCCCAGCGGTGGCGGCAGGACAGCCGCAGCCACAGCCGCAGCCCCAGCGGCCAGCGCAGCCAGCGCCAGGAGATGTGGTCATGGGGGCGCTCCCGCCACAGGCGGAGAGGCGCGGGCTGCCGCCTGAGGCGGAGGCCTCAGAGAGCAAACGAGCGCGGGTTGCGGCGGTCCACGAGCTGGACGTCGGCAACCTAGACGACCCGCCCGACGCGTTCTGGGAGGAGATCTCGGATGAGGTCGAGGACCAGACCGAGGACATGTTCGACGT